GTCGAGGATCTTTATGGAGGCGTCAGCAGACCCAGTAGCTATTAGCTGCCCATCTCTACTATAGGTAGCTACTCGGCATGGTCCTTTATGGGATGTGACATAGCAGGTTTCATACTCTGAAGCCTCTGGGGACATGGTCTGGACATCTGCATCAAACTCCAGGTCAATGCCCGTGCCTGGGGCAACTGTATCTGAACGACCAATTGCATACTGAACTGCAGTATCATCGTTTTCCATTCCTGAAAGGAATAAAAATTAAGGGCATGAAAAGTATTATTTTAAAGGCCAAGACAGGCCCTGGCTGAGTAGCTCAGTTTGTTAGTGTTGCCCAATATGCCAAGGTTTCGGGTTCAATCCCCCATGAGGGCACATACAAGCATCAACCAATGAATGCATAAATAAGTGAAACAAAAATCAATGGTTCTCTCTCCCTAAAAAGTAAGGCCAAGACAAAGTTTGGGATCTGAACTGGGAAAGATGTTTGCCATATCAACTTACTACTTCTTGGAGGTGCATGACACTTAATACTTTCCGAAACTAGGCACACTGACCAGGGTGCATGCAGTGACCACACTGTAAGGGAACACAGGTTGTAGAAGGCCAGGCTTCAGTAAGTAGTCACCTCTGCTGATTTTTGCCTCCAAACTGTTCTATGTAACTACAACTACGGAAACAAAAAGCAGTTTTATAGTTAAACTGTTCATTTTTCCTACTCCAGCTTGTATCGTTAGTGCTGAGATCTGTTAATATAAACTCTGAAGCTCATTAAGTCAGATATATTAACACTAGTGAAACATTTGAAAGAATGTTATTTAAATAAACTGAAGTTTATCAAGAATGTGTTTTAAATTTAAAAAGCTCCACACATCATATAAACAATGTTTATTAGCATAGGAAAAATTAAAAATGCAGATGAACAAAAATATAAAAAAGGATCCTATTTCACCCAGAGATGATTACTGTTAACATGGCCGTATAAATTCTTCTGGACCCTTCTCCATGCATAAAGTTGTTTCACTTCTTAAAACAAAAATTCTCACAACTGGCACTGCCAGGTCAGAGGGTATAAACAGGTTTGATAATTCTGTATTTCACTGAGTGTTTTCTGTGACCCAGGCAAGCACCAGCACATACTAATGAACAAGAAAAGGTCCTGATCTTTGAGGAGCTTGCCATTTTTGTTGTTGGGAGAGGTATAGGTTGTGTGGGAAACAACCCAAAACACTGAAGAAAATTTCAGACAGTACTTGTGCTAGGAAGGAAATGGGACTGTGTGTTAGATTAAGAGCATGTGTGTGTGTGTGTGTGTGTGTGTGTGTGTGTGTGTTGGGGGGGGGGAGGGGTGGGGATAATAGTGAGGTTGTTTTAGAAAAGGTGAGAAGGACTCTGGGATGACAATGTGAGTTGAGACTTGAAGAGTCAATAATCTAATGACTGAAGGGTCCAGATAATTTGTATAAAGATCCTGAGGCTAGAACCAGCTCCAAGTCTTCATAACCTGGACTATGCTATCTCCTTCAGTATCCAGCACTGTACTTGACATGTACTAACACTAAAGAAGTGGAAATAATCTTGAAAAATTCTGATGGGTGAGAACACTGAAACCTTGTCAAGGGATCAATGAACTGTATTCACAGCTACCTAATTTGATGAGATGCAGGAGCTGCTCTGAGGGTGCACAAACAGACTGAGGCTTGATTTCATTGATGAGGCCATTAGCAATGCTGATGAAGCCATCATAGAGCAGCTGGCTAATGATCAACTTGTAAAGCTGCTGGCGGTCCTTCAGGCCCACTTTGGTTCTGTACATCGTGGAGAAGAGGAAAACAATTTCTCTGCCAGCTGCAAAAAGAGAAAAAGGGTGGATGGTGAAGAAGAGAGGCACCAGTAAATCACAGAAGCAACACAGAAATTGGATCTGACTTGCAGGGCTCAAATCCCAGCTCTGCTACCTTCCCTGCCTTATCTTTGGTCAATGACTCGTTTGCCTGAGATCAGGTTCCTCAGCTGTTATATGTTCAGACACTACTGTTTCCACTAGCTGAGTGTATGTTTACTAGTATCAGATATGTTCAGTCTTAATACATGTTTTGAAGCAACTGAGGTTGTTAAATTATTTATTTAGATTAGAGGCCCGGTGCACAAAAATTTGTGCACTCAGGGGGGAGGGGGGTCCCCCAGCCCGGCCTGTGCCCTCTCGCAGTCTGGGACCCCTCGGGAGATTAACGACCTGCTGGCTTAGGCCTGCTCCCGGGTGGCAGAGGGCAGGCCCAATCCCTAGGTGCAGCCCCTGGTTGGGCTCAGAGCAGGGCCGATTGGGGAGTTGGGGCGCCGCCCCCTGTCATGCACAGAGCAGGGAGGATCTGGAGGTTGCGATGCCACCCCTAGTCATGCTCAGGGTACGGCCGATTGGGGGGTTGGGGCACCGCCCCCTGTCACACTCAAGGCAGGGTCGATAGGGAAGTTGCGGCGCCACCCCCTGTCACGCACAGAGCAAGGCCCATCAGGGGGTTGGGGCTCCGTACCCTGTCACACACAGAGCAGGGTTGATAAGGGGGTTGGGGAGCTCCCCCCTGTCACGCACAGAGCAGGGCCGATTAGGGGGTTGAGGAGCTCCCCCGTCACACACAGAGCAGGGCGGATCAGGGGGTTGGGGCGCTGCCCCCTGTCATGCACAGAGCAGGGCCCATCAGGGGGGTTGGGGCTCCGTACTGTCACACATAGAGCAGGGCCGATCAGGGGGTTGAGGAGCTCCCCACTGTCACTCACAGAGCAGGGCCCATCAGGGGGGTTGGGGCACCGCCCCTCGTCACACACAGAGCAGGGCGGATCAGGGGGTTGGGGCGCCGCCACTCTCACACTCAGGGCAGGGCCTATGGGGAGGTTATGGCTCTACCCCGTCACACAGAGCAGGGCCCGTGGGGGGGGTGGGGTTGGGGCGCCACCCTCTATCACCCACAGAGCAGGGTCAATCAGGGGGTTGGGGCACTGCACCCTGTCACACACAGAGCAGGGCCGATCAGGGGGTTAGGGCGCTGCACCCTGTCACACACAGAGCCGCAGGGCGATCAGGGGCTTTGGGTGCAGCCCCCTGTCACGCTGATCCCGGTGCCGGGAGGCCTCTCGGCTCTGCTGATCCCGGTGCCAGTGCCAGGAGGCATATTACCCTTTTACTATATAGAATAGAGGCCTGGTGCACGGGTGGGGGCTGGCTGGTTTGCCCTGAAGGGTGTCCTGGGTCAGGGTGGGGGGGGTCCCGCTTGGGTGCCTGGCCAGCCTGGGTGAGGGGATGATGGCTGTTTGCAGCTGGTCACACACCCTTCAGGGTGGGAGTCCCCACTGGGGTGCCTGGCCAGTCTGGCTGAGGGGCTGAGGGCCATTTTCAGGCTGACAGGTGACTGAAGCTCCCAACGCTCCTTTTTCTTTTTTTATTCTGGGCTAGCTTTAGCTCTGAGGCCTAGGCTGCTGAAAACAGGTTTGTGGCCTTTGTTTACCATCTGTATTTGATACAATGTTGTGGTCTGGCTGGCTGAAGCCGGGCTGAGTAAAGCAGGTTTCTGGGGTTTTGTTTATCTTCTATATTTGCAACATAGTTGCTTAGAGTTGCAGCTGAGAGGCCGGCAAGTCAGGCGGGGAACGTTGGAGTCCTCCTTCACTGAAGCAAGCAAGCCTCATGTTAGTTTCAAGCTGCCTGGCTGCCTGCGGCCATCTTGGCTGACAGTTAATTTGCATATCACCCTGATTAGCCAATGGGAAGGGTAGTGGTCGTATGCCAATTACCATGTTTCTCTTTTATTAGATAGGATAGGATAATAAGTCAAGATATGAGGGCAAAACACCTATTGTGCTATGAAAACTTAATCAAGCCGAATGCTTTGGAAAGAGTCAAAGGTGAATTGCTTAATAAAATATTGGCAAATAACATGGCCAAAACAACAGGAAAGGAGGGAGGCAAAACTTGAAGGATTGGGCACTTACGCAGATTTACAGATGTCCAAGTGCTCCAGGCACTAGTTATGAGACTTGCTATATACTCTACACACATCGGGTAGGCAATTTATGCGCATTACTTCACTAAATCCTCACCCAATCCTCTTTAGGAGACGGGCCACCTGAAGCCCGGAGAGGTCTAACTCACCCGGGTTCACACAGCCTGTAAATGGCAAAGCCTGGGTTCTAACCCAGGCTACTGGTCCCCGGAGCCCGAGTCCTTAATGCGCTGTACTGATGGGTGTTAGTAACAGCAGCTGACATCCACTGAGCACTCGCCAGACACCGTGCTGCGCACTGTATAAGGCAGCATTTGCTCACTGCATAAGTTCACTCAGTGGACGTAGTAAGGACATGTGGAAGCAAATGCATGTAATTCTATGCTTGCGGAGACAACTCCAGGACACAACAGAGAGGACGAAACCAAGTCAAAGAGGTTAGGAAACCCACTGAAAGTAACATGTGGCTGAGGAACTCATCCAACATGAAAGTGGCCGCCAGGACTGTCCACACGGGAGCCCAGAACTTAACCGCTACTCCATCCCGTCTCCTCGCTCATGCCAGGAGCATTATGGGATGCAGAGAGAGCTTAAAAAGAAGAGGCCGAGCTGCGTTCTCAGCGCATAGAGCGCGGGCTCGCGGGGCTAGTGAGCGCCTAATCGCAACCCCGATTTGCAGGTGAGGACGCCGAGGCCCGAGAACAGAAGAACCCAACCAGGACCGGTTGGGCCCGGGGCTGGAAGAAGGACCGGGAGGGCGGAGAGGGCCCCTCGCCGTGCGCTCCGCTCCCACCCGGCAGAGAGGTGAACTAGGGTTGGAGGAAGGGAGCGAGGCCCTTGAAGAGGAGGAAGCAGGCCCAGCCTGGCAAGTCAGCGCGCACTCCTCCCCGCTCACATGCTCCCGTTCCCCTCCTTCCGTGGTCCCCTAGAGCCCCCCGCCCGACCGCTCCAGCCGCTCTGCGCACACCCCGGGCCCCAGGTACCCGCGAGTCCAGCTCCCGGTCTCCCGCTCCTCTGCAAAAATGGAGGCACGACTCCGGCTCGATCGACCGCTCCGCGCGCACACTCACTGCGCACGCGAAAAGGCCGCCGCGCCGAGCGCTGCGCGGTCGATCGGCCCACTCGGCCCCGCCCGTCTCGCCATCTTGCTTACTGGCACCTCCGAGAGGTTCGTTCACTTGCTCCGACTTTATCTCCTACGCGACAACACAGACGCCAAGAGGCTTCCGTTTCACAGACAGACGTCCCCTCCCGGAGAGCAGCGCTGGCGCCAGAACAGCGTGGGTCCACGAGCCGGGCCGTTGGCTCCGCACTTCCGGGGCCTGGCGGAGCAAGTGCGCCTGCGCGCCGCGTCCGCCCTCCTTGGACCTGATCGGGCCGTCGCGCGGCTGTGAACCAATGGGAAGGCAGCGCCTCTCTAGCCCAGGCCAATCGGCGTTCGGACCAGAGAGTTTAACTCCCATTTAAAATGACTCTCTGAGTCTAACGGCTCGGCTCTCCGGAGGACTCTGCGGCCGTGGGTCGGAAGCCGGAGCCAGCAGGTGTCCAGGCCGGGGGGGGCAGCTCCGGGAGGCGGGAGGGCGAGGGCGGCAGGCCTGCGTGGCCTTCGAGCGGCCCGCCGGGCGGTGGGGTGGGGCCGCGGGACTGGCGAGGGAAGAGTCGGGGTGAGCAGGCGTCCCTGGGTCCCGTGTCCTCTGTCCTCCTCCCCTCCCCCTCCCTGTCCTCCGTCTCCCCCAGCCCCGCTTTCCCAGCGCCCTCCCGGCCGCCACCGGGTACTAAGGCGTCCTTGCGCTTGGTGTGTCCTAGACACCCGGAATGGGGGGCTGGGGGTGGGGTGGGGTGCTTTCTGATGGGATGGTCCCGGTTAGTGGGCACCTGGGTGAGAGAGCTGACTCGAGGGCTTTGCTGTCTTGCAGCTTAGGTTCTAGTCGGGGCGAGGAGGCAGACGACGACCTAGCAAGACAGCTTCCAACAGTGAAAGAAACGTGTGGGTTCCTGGGGGATGGAATAGCCAGGGAAGGCCCTGGTCCTGCGCTAGGTGGATGAGTGTGGATGAATGACAACCCCGGAGAGGCCCCCTGGGAGGGCTGGAGCCGTTCAGACCGTAGCCTGCCCATGTGGGGTTCTGGGGCGTCCTTTCGGCACTAGGCCCGCCCACCTGATGAATCAGAATCCCTTGGGCGGACTCAGGTGTTTGCGTCCATCGAGCTCTCCAGGTGATCCTGCTGTTTCCCCGAGAACTAGGGGTGGGACCAGCGCAGGCTAGTCATCTGGGGACGTGGTTCACATGCCGCATCTGATGTGCTGGGTCTGCGGTTGGGCCTGGAAGTCTCCCTTTCTGTCTCTAGTCCTAACCCTCCCCACCAGGTGTGGATGTAGCTGTGCGCTTGACTTTGCATGTCCTTGGCTGAATTTCACTCTCTTCGGCAGCACCCATTTCATTTCCTCTCCACTCTTCATTCGTGCGATGGCATTGGTAGGTTCCATGGAAGAAGGGACACCTGGACCCACAGTGTTGTTAGGTCAACCCTTTTCCTGCTTGAGCTGCAGGAGTCTGTGGCGGTCATCTGGCTGCGTGACTCCTGGCCCTGGCTGTAGAGCAGAGCCTCCTGAGAAGCAGTCTTCCTGAGCTTCCTCCAGAATTTCTGGATCAGAATCTCGCTCCGTTCTGCTTGTTATTCATCTTCCTGGGAAGGAAAAGTTTGTGAAATTGGAGCAAATGTCTGTAGTCTTTGTTGAAGACTGTTAACTCTATGTCCTTTAATCCATATAATCTTAGTGTGCAGCTTGTAATTGTGAGGGAAAGTGAAGAAAGCAGAGCCTGTGAGGAATTGGCATTCGCATAGACAAGCATATATTTTCACCTCTTGCCTATTGTTTCTACTCACTCACTGATGTGAAGTCTCTAGGCCAGTGGTTCTCAACCTTCCTAGTGCCTCGACCCTTTAATACAGTTCCTCCTCTGCCAGAACCGGTTTGGCTCAGTGGATAGAGCGTCGGCCTGCGGACTGAAAGGTCCCAGGTTCGATTCCGGTCAAGGGCATGTACCTGGGTTGCGGGCACACCCCCAGTAGGAGATGTGCAAGAGGCAGCTGATTGATGTTTCTCTCTCATCGATGTTTCTAACTCTCTATCTCTCTCCCTTCCTCTCTGTGAAAAATCAATAAAATATATATTAAAAAAAAAATACAGTTCCTCATGTTGTAGTGACCCCCAATTTCATTGTTACAAATTGAACATAATTAAAGCATAGTGATTAATCCCAAAAACAATATGTAATTATATATGTGTTTTCCGATGGTCTTAGGCGACCCCTGTGAAAGGGTCGTTCAACCCCCAAAGGGGTCGGGACCCACAGGTTGAGAACCGTTGCTCTAGTGGCCCATCTCCCAGGTGGAGTGATTTGCATATTGATGAATGGCTATGAGAGCTTGGGGAGGGGAGTGCTTTCTGATTGGATGCTGGAATTCAGAGAGCACTGGGTATGAAAAATACAGAAAAGGTTTCTGCTTTCTTGTTTATGTTCTACTTACGTGATAGGTCGCTGCCTGACTCGATGGGTTTAGTAAATGTTATAAGCTATTTTTTTAATATATTTTATTGAGTTTTTTACAGAGAGGAAGGGAGAGGGATGGAGAGTTAGAAACATCCATGAGAGAAAAACATCGATCAGCTGCCTCCTGCATGCCTTCTCCTGGGGATGTGCCCGCAACCAAGGTACATGCCCTTGACCGGAATTGAACCTGGGACCCTTCAGTCCGAAGGCTCTATCCACTGAGCCAAACTGGTCAGGGTAAACTATTTTTATGATTGATTTGCTTTGTTAATGGGTTAATATAGTCCCCAAACATTGGTGTACATTCTATGTGCCAGGCATGTTCTGGGGGAGACCTTGAACAAAATGGAACTAAGCCCTTGTTCTCATAGAGCTTGCTTTTTTTTTTTTTTTTTTTTTTTTTGGGCAATACTGAGTAGGTAGCTGGATATCTGAGTCTGGAGAGACAGTCAGTAAACAAGTACAAGTAAGATGTTATGAAGGAAAGATGGTCTGAAAGGGGACATCTGACCAGAGACTGAATGAAACGAAGGAACAAGCTACACTTCTATTTGGGGGAAGAGCTTTATAGGTGGAGGAAACAGGGAGTACCAAGGCCCTGTGGCAGGAGACTTGAGGAAAGGAAGGAACTCTGTATGGCTGGTGTGCAATGGACAAGAGGAGATATGGTTAGAGAGGTGGTCAGGGTCCACATTCTGGGACTTAGTAGGCCTGCATCTAAGCTAAGGGAAGAAAGGAGTGGGAAATGAATGAGTGAGCTTGTCATGCTGCCTAGAACGCAGGTAAGATGGAGGCGGAGAACTGACCTGTGCATTTGGACAGTAGGGGCTAGTTATGAGGTGGGCGAAGGGGAGTGGGCCCCAGGAGGATGAGAGAAGTAGTGGGTAGCAGAGATGATCAGTGTGGACAGCTGTTCCAGAGACTTGCTGTTGAAAGGGGAGGCGGAGATGTGGTCATACCTTGAGTTCAGTTAGAGTGTAAAGAGAATTGTTTTTTTTATGAAGGTAGCAGGTGTAGAAGTAGGCTTGAACACTGATGAACGTGATCATTTGAGAGGAGATGATGGAGCAGAGGGGCGAGTCAGTTCAGGAGTGAAGTTTGCGTACCAAGAAGGGGAGGGGAGGGTGGGAGGTGATGGGAGGAGACTGGCTGGGACGGGATGGGACGCAGTGCACAGTACCAGGGGAGAGGTTGGTCTATGGGAAAGGCCCACACCTGAACATTGTCACATGAGAAAACAGTGCCCTCTTGTCAGCTTCATTGGGACAAAGAAAAAGTGTAAAATTCTGTGTGTTGTTGAGGCTAGGACCCCGATCTAGCAGAACAGGTATAAATTAAAGGTTCTTTTTTCTTTTCAGGCATCATGGACAAATCTAAAGAAAACGGCATTTCAGGGCTGTTTAAGGTAAACTGAATAATCTGTAACCTCAGTCACGTTTATAAAACCCAAATGGGGATCTGTCTTCTATCTGGAATTCTTCTCACCTTCACTTTGGATTTGTAACTTTAGACCACTTTTCTCAGCATTCAGGAACATTTTGTTGATTCTCTCACTGTATCTGTTTTGTTCTATTTTGTCTTATACTTACCTATTCAAGTCTGTATTTTCCATTGTATGCAGCATAATGAACACAATAGAAGCCTAATGCTTGCCTGTACTTGCTGGCCAGAAATTAATTTCTTTGCCATAGTTTGGTCTGGTCTCAGTTCAGGGAGTGTAAATTCAGAGGAATGTCAAAACAGATGTTAGTGGATGTTTCCTAGGGCTCCACTTTGAGCCGGGTTCTGGGTCAGATGTATTCCCCCCGCCCCCCATTTTTTTCTAAACATGTATTGTCAAAGAAATTTCAGTGCAAATGGGATTTTGGTATACTAGTAAAGTTTCTGTATTGCAGCTTTTTGCTAAATCATAATTCCCAAGTCACGGAATTCTTAGAAGTGTTTGTCTTCCTCTTTAAATGGAAGTTGAGTTAATGAACATTGGTTTATGGGAGTATGGTTTTAGGGTGGGGCTGGAGAGGGATTAGGAAGTGCCATTCAGGTATTCCTTTCAGCCATATACCAACCTTGTCCTTTAGAAGTGCTGATTAAAATAGCTTTTTTCTTCCATCTCTTACCCTGACACTCATTATTTTGTTATACCAGAAACAAATTCTCAGGATATTCAGCTTTTGTTTATGAAGACCTTGAAGCTTCTTTTATTTTTCCCTCCTAACCTAGACTACAATTCCATCTGGTGATGGTCCAAAACGTGTTTTGGTGACTCAGCAATTTCCTTCTCAGTATCCGTTACCTGCAAATAGTGGCCAGGCTCAGCGGGTCTTGTGTCCTTCGAATTCCTCCCAGCAAGTTCCTTCAAAAGCACAAAAGCTTGTCTCCAGCCATAAACCGGTTCTGAATCTGAAGCAGAAGCAGTTGCAGGCAACCAGTGGCCCTTGCCCTGTGTCCAGACCACTGAATAATACGCAAAAGAGTGAGCAGCCCCAGCCACCAGCCCCTGGTAAATCAGCTTTTTGAGACTCATTGTGTAGTCGTGCTTTCTAGTTAGCTTAAAAAAAAAGACAAGTGTATAGACTTGTATTTTATATTGTTTGATACAGCCTTCATATAATTTCTATTGAGATTGGGGAGGAGACTTGATGTCAGGTTGAAGTAACAGTTCTTGGTGGGCCAGGCCTGTGGGAAGAAGACCTGGTTCCTACCCTCATGGTACATTTGAGGAGCCAAGTTCCAAGTTCATGGCATGGAGGAAATCGGGGGAAAGTGGATGGGCTGAGGCAGGCTGGGCCAAGGTCACTGTGGGCACTGTTGGTGGTGCTCAGCAGTGGGGCTTCATCCCTGTGCATTGGGAAGTTGCTGAAAGGTTTGTGAGCAGAGGAGGGACTGACGTGCCTTGTAGAGAGCTTATCTGGGGGTGTGGAATGCATTGGAGTAGCAATGCTGCACCCAGGGGTGCAGGATGCTAGGGAGGCCTGAACTGGGGGTGGGGGGTAGGGGGGGAGGTAGGGGCAGGATGGATAGTAATGGTTCCTATTTACCATCTCTTGAGTGCCCACACAGTAAGCTCTGAGATGAGTGCTTTCTTCATCCACCTTGTTTTTTCAATCCTCATAACCAGTCTAGGAAGGTAGTCAGAGTCATTAACCCAGTTTTACAGAGGAGGAAGCTGGGACGCAGAAGCATTAAGTAAACTGGACGTGGAGAGGCTGGTTATATTGATGGCATGAGCTGAGATGGTGAACCATGGAAGGAAAAGCCAGCTGGGCCCTGCATTCGAATATCTGAGCAGACCATGCTGTGCTGCTGCTAGAGTTCGAAGTGCCAGAGAAAGACAAGAGGCAGTGTCCCACAGCCTCTGGCTGGTGAAATGGGGACGTGAGCCCCCTGTTGTGCCATTGGTTTGTCGTACATCTTGCTGAATTGGTGGCTTCTAGTTCTGTGTTTCCCCTGACAAGGAGTAGCGTGAAAGGCAGGTAGCGGTTTAGGTTTGGGTGCACATTGTTGATCTTATTTGTATGCAGCATGTGGACAGCTGGCTGTCCCACCTCATGGGAGAAAGGTGACCAGGGGGAGCTTGTCATGGATGGAAGACTGTTCTGCCTTAGAAGCTCTTCATTTGGAAACAGGCTTTGGGGGGAATCTTCAGTCTGGAGCCTTCACGTTATCGGAAGGCCTAACTATACGTGTTTGCTCATCTTTACTCTAGAAATCTGTGAACTTCACAGAGTGGCAGTCGGCTTATGCTGTGGTAGTCTTTTTCTATAGAGAAAACTAAAAATGGCCAGATCATGAATATTTTGGTGATGATTGTTTGATTTACTTCTGTTCTCAGGTTTTTTACTTATTCTGTATAGTTATCCTAAAAACGGGTTTTTTTAAATTATTCTGTGTAGGAAAGAATTCTGAAAAGGAAGTGGCTTCAAAACAGAAAAACGAAGAATCAAAAAAGTAAGCTTTACTTATTTACGAAGTTTTGTGCTATCATTCTATTAGAAAACACCATTTCACTGCAAATTTAATTTTGGGAACTCTAAAAATAAAGAGATCTTTATATTGTAACTTTGAAAATATAAATATTTCTAATTATAAAAGAGGAGGGATTTTAATGATGGAAGTTAACTTAGAAACTCAAGTTTTTCAACTTTAGAAAAAGCTTGTGTGAATTTGTTACAGAAATGTGTAAAATAGTTTCTTTCTACCCTCAGAAGTAACCACTGCATATGGTTTGTGTATTCTGTATATATATATATATATATATGCAAATTTTTTTAAAAAACGGGGTCATGTTGTAAGACTGTTTATATATGATTGTGTATTTTGACAGTGTTCATAGAATTATTGTGTTCCTTATAACAAAGTATGGCTATGGTATCTTTCCCAGATAGTTTCTAAAAGCCTGCTGTCAATCTTTGAACTGTCTAGATCAGCAGTTCTCAACCTTCCTAATGCCGCGACCCTTTAATACAGTTCCTCATGTTGTGGTGACCCCCAATTTCATTGTTACAAATTGAACATAATTAAAGTATAGTGATTAATCACAAAAACAGATTAGACCAGTGGTTCTCAACCTGTGGGTCGCGACTCCTTTGGGATCGAACGACCTTTTCACAGGGGTCGCCTAAGACCATCGGAACCTTGTGAAAGAGCTCCCAGAGGACAAAGCTGGAACAATTTGAGCAACAAAATAAAATAGTATTGGATTGTAACTCAAAGTATAAAAAACTGACGAGTCCATACTAACAAGTGACTCAGTGAATACATAAGGAGAATTCAAAATAATTTTCGTAGATGCCTGCCCCACAGGAGGTGGAACATGATCCCGCTGTTTAAGTGTGGCTGTGCATAGAGCCTTCCTGTGAAGGAGCACAGCATGGAAAGGGAGAAATGTGACAAACACGCCCTTCGATCCCCAAAGAGTCGCGACCCACAGGTTGAGAACCACTGGTTCCAGATTCTAGAACGTGGTAGGAGCAGGAATGAACACATACTTTTTTGCTTTAGCTGCCTAGCGGAGACTTTCTGAGAATCTAATGGTTCCCCCCTAAATGCCCTGTGGGATCCATCCCTCTTGCTTTACCAGAGTGGTTCTCCACCCCTGAGAGTGTTAGCATGTCCCAGGGGGTTGAGAGGAGGCTGTGGTTAGTTTGCAAGCAGCCCAAGATGGTGTGGAGGCATTCTTCCCTGGCCATTTCTGTAACCTAATCCCTCTTATGGTCTCAGTGTTGTTCAGAGGTCTGTATGCCTTCTGAAATGCCATTGAGTGTTTCAGCACTAATGTCTACATTATTCCTTGTCAATGACTCACAGCCAGTGGCAGGCAGGTGGGGGTGTGAGGGACTCAATGTCTGTGGTGCCTCATTAATCATGGTATTGTCTTGGTTCTGGCAGATGGTACAGTCTGAAAAATAACTATAAAATTATATATGGGGTGTGTCTACTACTCATTAATTGTTAGAAGAGATTTGTTTTCTTGATATTTTAAAATGATCACATTTCTTCCTAGAAGGCAATGGACCTTGGAAGATTTTGAAATTGGTCGCCCTCTGGGTAAAGGAAAGTTTGGAAATGTGTACCTGGCGAGGGAAAAACAGAGCAAGTTCATCCTGGCTCTGAAAGTCTTATTCAAAGCCCAGCTGGAGAAAGCAGGCGTGGAGCATCAGATAAGAAGAGAAGTAGAGATACAGTCCCACCTTAGGTGAGTTTTCAGGGATCTCCCAAAGAGTGGTGCACAGGACCCCAAGTGAAGATAAATGGCTGTGAACTGCTTCTTAGGAGGCCTGCCTGCCTCGTTGTCCTGCAGAGGGTGATGGAATATGTCATTTTCCGAAGATTTTTGTAGACTTATGTGCTGTGGGCCTGAAAAATGTTTTGGAGGTTTATGTTAATGGAGTGATTTTTTTGGGTGGGTAATATGGGGAATGATACCTCTTACTCGGAATTGTGAGCAGAGTTTGCAGGCTTGACTTTGGCCAGAGTCTTTTTTTTCCCCCCCAGTGTTTTTTTCAAACTTGAATCAGTTGGTAATACTTAAAAATCTGTATCATGCCTGCATCCCTACTTTGCAACACCTGGCTAGGGTTGAGAAGGACTGATGGCTCTGATGGGCTGTACTTTACTCTCCGCTGCACACGTTTGTCACTCTTGAAGACCGCTTTTATAGCTGTTGTAGCATTCGGTATCCAGTTACTGTGGGAATGCCGCGTCTCTTTCTTTTAATTAGCAGAGCAGAGAATTGACCGTTAGCCAAGTTTTTCCCCCCTAAGAATAAAGACAGCTTAAAGGAAGGAAATAATAGTCTTGGGTAAACCTGAGGTCCACGAACCCCTTGAAAGGCATGTAAACGGATATGTGGATATGTGTATTTTTCTTAGAGTGAAGTCTATAGTTTCAGATTCTCAAGTTGGAGTGTGAGGAGGGGGGTCCTGTGACCAGAACCAGCTTTTACCACTGATTTTACACCAAGAGTTGGTTTGGCCCTGACCGGTTTGGCTCAGTGGATAGAGCGCCGGCCTGCGGACTGAGGGGTCCCAGGTTCGATTCCAGTCAAGGGCATGTACCTTGGTTGTGGGCACATCCCCAGTGGGGGGTGTGCAGGAGGCAGCTGATCGATGTTTCTCTCTCATCGATGTTTCTGGCTCTCTATCCCTCTCCCTTCCTCTCTGTAAAAAATCAGTAAAATATATTAAAAGAAAAAAAGTTTGGTATTGAGCACATGTCTTGTATCTGCTTTAAAACCAGGTGTTGAGTGTTCACCTTTTGTTGCAGGCATCCAAACATTCTCAGGCTGTATGGTTATTTCCATGATGCCACCAGAGTGTACCTAATTTTGGAATACGCACCTCTTGGAACTGTCTATAGAGAACTTCAGAAACTGTCCAGGTTTGATGAGCAGAGAACTGCTACTGTAAGTGCTTGTTTACTGTCCAGCCAGTTCCATGTGCCCTGCCTGTCCTGCATGGCCATGTGCCTTCTCTTACAGTAGAGTGGATCTACTGAATGCACTGATAGCTTAATAGGACTGAATATCTGACGTGGAAAAATCAATCATTGTACCATATATACAGTTAAAATCAGGTACCAGGTAGAATGTTGTGGCTGGTTTGTTTTCAAAGCTGTTTTTCTGTGGAAATGTATATAAATAGTGGCCTTTTTTTTTGTTTTTAATGAGCTATTTTAGGATAGTTTTAGATTTACAGAATAATTAAGAAGATAGTACAGATCTGTTTTCTGTATTAGTAATACACACTTAATTTCTCCTATTAATATCTTACATTAGTATGGTACATTCATCATAACGAAGAAATATATTTTTAATTTTTTTTTAATTGAAGAAATATTGATACATCACTGTTAACTGAAGTTCATACTTGTTCAGATATCCTCAGTTTTTCTTATGGTTAGATTAGGTCAGTGGGTGTTTGAGAAGATCATGGAGGTAAACGTGTTCTCATTCCATATCAAGGGTACACAGCGAACTCATCACGGTGGTGTTGGCCTTAATCACCTGGCTGAGGGCGTGTTTGTCACATTTCTCCCTTTCCATGCTGTGCTCCTTCACAGGAAGGCTCTATGCACAGCCACACTTAAGCAGCGGGGTCATGTTCCACCTCCCATGGGGCAGGCATCTACAAAAATTATTTTGAACTCTCCTATGTATTCACTGAGTCACTTGTTAGTATGGACTCATCAGTTTTTTATACTTTGAGTTACAATCCAATACTATTTTGTTGTTCAAATTGTTCCAGCTTTGTCCACTGGGAGCTCTTTCACATGGTTCCTGTGTTTTTGACATCCCTCATCATTGTGGGGTGCAGTGTTTTTTATTTTATTTTTATTTTAAGCTTTCTGACACTACAAGATGCTCTAGCCTCATATTTCCTATCCCAGGCCCAGAATTACCGTTTCTCCCAGGAGCCCTAGTTCCTTTTATTGGAATGTGTTACTAGAAACCAAGATCTGGGTGCTGGGTGTGCTCATGCTACTGGTGTCATTACTTCAGCTGACAGAGACAAGGAAGCATGTGTAAACTAATCTGTGTGTATACATGTGTCTACTAGTACATCTACATTTTCCATCTGTATCTGTATTCAGCAAAGTACCTGTCCATTACGTGGGGATCATTCTACCCTCCTTGCTTTTCTGTAACCTCCCACTCCGGTGTTGGGAAACCTGGATTCCACCGTCTTCCATCCATTTAATTATTCAGTGCTTGTGTACATGGATGGCAGTATCAGAATGGTTAGCCAGCTACTCCTGTGGGAAACAACTAGTGTGTGCATTTAAGATTTCATCTGTATCTTTTCAGGGGTTGACATAGCTCATTTCTTTTCATTGGTGCATAGTATTTCATTGTATGGATATGCCTCAGGTATCCCTTCACTTACTGAAAGGAAAGCCCATTGCCCTCTGCAATTCTAATGTGTAGAAGAGTTTCTGTCTTTACTTTCAATTTATTATCATGTAAATTTTGGCTTGGGCTTTTGGCTGAAACAATGAAAAGTATCTTCTGATAATGACATTTGGTTTTTGCCCATTTGTTTAATAAATCTTTTTGGTGTGGAATAATGTTCAGTCCTGTTTAGCAATAGCTTTTGGAAAACAAAGGCTTCTCAAACTTTAGCCAGAGCTAAATACATTTTCTCAGTATACAGTACTAATAACAGTTCTTATCTATCTGTTAAAGCACATTCTGGTTGAGGTGGTAACTAACAGGACTGACAGCTTGTGGACTCTTAAGCTGATTAATGAATTAGTTTATCCTGAATTTAACATGCCAATACTATACCTGCTTCTAGTTTCTGTCTGTTGTTCAGAATTATTTGCTCCCCTCCCCCCATATTTTTAGTGCAAATGTTTAGCTTCAAACAAATCATTTTGTTGCAAATTGATCTTGGTTTTAAAAATGGGAATAGACTGTACTTGAGAGATTTTTTTTTTGGTGTTTTGGAAACATTGTTTATGACTCCCTCATTTGTACTGGTTGTTCAGTATTCTCTTAATTGCTGGGCCATAATTTGTCATGTGGGGATGTAGTTATAGCCCATCACTGTTTTTCCTGTCTTTCGATGTCCCATCTGCTGTGTTAGCAAATAAATAACCTTGCGCTGAATAACTTGTACTTCATGCTGAACACCAATTTGGTTCAATTGATTTCTTTTTTTTTTTGAGTCATCAGTTGGTTCTAGTTTTTGCTTTAAAATCTACAAAACATGTTAAAAGTCTATGTTGGGTTTTCTTTCAGAAAACATGTCTAAAATTAACTTGTTATATAAAATCTAAAACTCCGATTTTAATACTTTTTTTGATAGTATATCACAGAATTGACAAATGCCCTGTCATACTGCCACTCAAAGAGAGTTATTCATAGAGACATCAAGCCAGAGAATCTGCTCCTTGGATCAACTGGAGAGCTTAAGATTGCAGATTTTGGGTGGTCTGTACATGCCCCATCCTCCAGGTATGTAACTTGAGGAGGAACTTGTTGGGGTTAGCAAAAGCCCCAGTGGCCACGCATGAGCTAGAGAGTAAAGTACCTAAGCATAGGTGTTGTGCTGAATTGGGACAGGTAACTGACATAATACTTTGGAGTAATTTAGGCCCCGATAGTAAAATAGTGTCTTCGAGGACATTTTAATTCTGCAACCACTTCGACTATTTGTTGTGTCCTAGGCCTGGGATTAAAGACATTTTATGTCCTTAACGGCTAATGAATGGGAGAGGTAAGTAAACAGATACAACAGGTCTATGACAGAAGAGATACAGGATGTGTAGAGGGGAGTACGCCTGACATACTACGACAAGTTCTTGGGGGCGGGGCAGCACCTGCCAAGGTCTGGATCTGAGGGCACAATTCTGCGGGAATGCCAACAACCAAATGGGTTTGAAGGGACTTTCAGGGTGGGGGTTAAAGATGCTCTTTGGTCTGCTGTCATCAACAGAACAGTCCTTTCTTGTTTTCTCTTAAAATTAAAGCAGAGAGATCAACCTAAGGAAACAATTTAAATCTTAACTGAACTTTGCAAACCAGAGCAAAGTTCTCTACTCTTTTAAATTTAATTTGGGTTTAAATAAGCCTTTGAAACCACATGTGAAGTAGAACATTTACAAGCATATATTTACTGATAGAAGTTTGTCCACTTTGAGGTAGGGCTTAAAAAGCTATAGCCCGATTACTTAAAAAAATTCGAAGAACTGTTTTACTTTATTTTTTTAATTTAAAAAATCTAGTTTTTAAAAGAAATTGTCTAGCCTAAATAGGTGCCATGGGATGGGGTGGGCTTTGTTTTTATTACCCACCACTTGTAAATTGTTTCTAGCAATGCATCGAATCTGCTTTTAAAAAAAATCTGGTTGCCTGTCACCACTGGACGCTGTTGGCACCTGCTGAGGCAAACAATGAAGAATTGTAGGCTTTGTGGCATCACAGGGCTAAAACTATACCTTAACTATCCAAGATATCACTGTGGCAGGAAAGATAACTTACTCTTTTCTGAAAAGGACATCTGTGTAAATGCTGGTCACTTTGCCCTGCCTCCCAAACAGTAATAACCATAGTGGTTCCCGGGTCACTGGGTGCTGTTTACTGCACCTCAGTGGTGATGAGAGGGACGGACTGTCTAGGGAGCTGGCTCCTTAGTCTCCAGTCACCATTTAGTTGAGTGAACACTTGTGTGCTCGCTGGGCTCCAGGCATGACCCAGCACAAGCTTTTCTATGGCAAAGAATAATTAATGTAAAGCAATAAACATCAGCACGGTCTTTGCTCCAGGTTTGTCTGCCCCACCAGCTTATTTCCAGCCTTTGGAAACTCACTGAAACATACAGAGATGCTGAATTGATAGTTGATTGCTCACCTCACTCCCCAGAGCCTACATTCAATAGTTAACATTTTGCCATGTGGGCTGTGTCAACTTTTTTTTTGGTGAATCTTCAAAAATGAGTTGCATATATCATGATGCTTTGTCCTTCGAGCACTTCAGTGTGCATCTTCTAAAAATAAGGATGCTGTCCTGTCTGGTCCCAGCCATCATCACTCTTTAAGAAAATGAATAACCGCCCTAACCGGTTTGGCTCAGTGGATAGAGCGTCGGCCTGCGGACTGAAGGGTCCCAGGTTCGATTCCGGTCAAGGGCATGTACCTTGGTTGCGGGCACATCCCCAGTAGGGGGTGTGCAGGAGGCAGCTGATTGATGTTTCTCTCTCATTGATGTTTCTGACTCTCTATCCCTCTCCTTTCCTCTCTGTAAAAAATCAATAAAAAATATATTAAAAAAAAGAAAATGAATAACTGTGGTAACAGCTAATATTTAGTCCATGTTCAGATTTCTCCAGTTGTCCACAAAATTTTATAGCTGTTCTTTTAAATCAGAATCTAACCAAGAACCATGCATTATATTTGATTGTGTCTCTTTCGTTTAAACTTAGACCAGTTTCCCCACAACTTAAAATGGATTTTTCTGCATGTGATGACACTTAGTTTTGTCTTTCATCCTCTGTATTTGCTGGAAATTGGGCCAAAGGGCCTGGAGAATATTTTTAACAAGAATACTTCATAGGCCGCCCTCCAATTTTAGTGTCTCTTGTACCAGTGCTGTATCAGAAGGCAGCATGTGCTGTCACAGTGGGACAGTTTAGTTTCTTGTCATCAATGTCACCTCTCTTAAGCTTCTTAGCATATCTGTGATGTAAGAAATGCTACATTGTATTTACAGAGAACTTTGTATGGCTGCCTTTATATAGCAGTGATACTTAAAATTTCTTATTTTTACATCATTTAAAGAGTTCCTGGAGTTGGACAGATTTGGGGTGTGGCTTGGAGGTTAGCCTTGTGATCTTAATCCAGCTCTCTGAAGCTGTTTCCTGTAAAAAAGTGGGGATTTAGAACAGCACCTGTCTCAGAGCACAGGCTCTGCCTAGGAAGAGCACTCGGTCAATGGTAGGGTAGTTGTTGATGATTTTAGCAGCTGCTGTGATCACGGAAACGAGCGCGGCAACCTGCACCTCCCTATTCCAGGAGAACCACCCTCTGTGGCACCCTGGACTACCTGCCCCCAGAGATGATCGAAGGCCGAATGCACGATGAGAAGGTGGATCTCTGGAGCCTCGGAGTTCTTTGCTATGAATTTTTGGTTGGGAAGCCTCCTTTTGAGGCAAGCACATACCAAGAGACCTACAAAAGAATATCTCGGGTAAGACACAATGGGAAGGGGCCCAGCACCGCTGTTAGAGCCCTTTCTGTCCTTCTCAGCCTTCCCTTGAGGCTACGGTCGGAATGTTTGTACTGTTCTCTCTAAACCACGTTTTGTGACGGCCTGTCATTTACTTTACTCCAGGTTGAATTCACATTCCCTGACTTTGTACGAGAGGGGGCCAGGGACCTGATTTCAAGACTGTTGATGCATAACCCCAACCAAAGGCTGACCCTGAAAGAAGTACTGGAACACCCCTGGATCACGGCAAATTCCTCAAAACCATCAAGTAGCCAAAAATCCAAAGAATCAACCAGCAAGCAATCTTAAGACTCTTGCAGGGGGAGAGCCTCTGAGCCAGGGCTGCTGTGTCAGTGGTCAGAATACACTCCTGACATAATCTACTACCGACTGCCTGCTCGCAATCCGCAGCGCTAGGGAAAAGTATAGAAGGTTCCACTTCAATAAACGTGACACGGAAGCGCAAGTAGCCACGAGAATCGTGCTCACTTCACTGGTTTTATCCTCCAGAGGCAAGGTGCGAGTGCCGCCGCCCTGCAGCCCGTGTGGAATAAGGGTCCTTGTGGAAGGTGAACTCTGAATTGGCTGTGGGCAGAGTGGCCCCTTCGTCCTGACCCGATCAGTTCAGGAGCTGTGCAATAACCTCCCAGGTACCTGCGTGGCGTGTAACCTCCTGGGTGGCCACACCTGGTAAAGTTGTCAGAATGAATATGTGATTCTTTTAAATGTTAAAATAAAGAGATGTGCATAGACTTTGTCCCTTCTGGATGCTCTGTCTCCCCTGTTGGGCCGGTTAGCTAGTCCTCCTCAACCACTCATCCTGCCTGAGACTATGAAACAGGACCACAGGCTCTTCCTCCATCATGGGACTTGCTTGAAACACAGCTGAGAAGTGTCTCAGCCAGTTCTAAATGTTAAGTACTTTTAAAAAATGTTTTTTCATGGTTTATATATTGTTTTTATAAATACATTAAGACATACAAAATGGTTACTCTTTTTCAAGTTCTCGTGTATAACCTTGAAATTATAGTGTTTTCCAGGAGCTCACAGTGTACCCTTTGAGCAGTGCTGGGCTTGGCTTGGGACGGGGGTGGGGGGAGGCAGAGGCCTGTGCAGGGCTGTGGTGTCAAGGCTGAGGTTCTGGAGCCAGGCTGGCATGTGAACACCTCCATTCTCTCACTTGCAGTGGTGGGGGACACAGCTTGGGAGAATGGCCACTGACCATGGGCGGGGGGCAGGAGGGGGCAGATTGTGATGGGGTAATTAGGAGTTGGGAGAGGTGCCCAGCAGGTAGCATCTGAGACTTGAAGGACATGGAGGATTTAAAGGTTGGAGGCTGGTGTGGCGAGAAGTCCTGCTGCTGAAGGAGGATGGCGGGAAACATGGCACGGGAGTGGGGAGCTATGGCTGTGACCGTGTGGCAGATGGTGCGCCCTCCATCCTTCAACTGTGCCGTGTGCCCATGAAGCGTTAGTTCCTTTTCTAGGCAGTGCACATGCAGTGCAGTGCTCGGTGACAGCCCAGCTCATGGAGCTGGACTCCTCAATGGGTGGTCCTCGTCCCGGGGACTCGACTGACAGTCACTGAGCAGAAGTGGGTGCTCCCGGGCTGGCACAGGGACTGAGCGGAGGAGGGCTCTGAGCCAGTGCTGCAGGTGGTCAGGAGACAGGGGGAGGAGGAGTCATGGGCATCCACATCCCCGCCTGCCCACCTCGGGGCTCTGACCTGGTCTCAGCAGGATGGCAAAGAGCCCATACACGGGTGAGCTGGTTCTTTGCAAGCTGACTTTCCAAGTGTGGTCTCTGTCTTGATTCTCTGGTGAAGGAATGTTCCCTTAACCAGAATCTCTCATTCTTCCCCAAACAGGGATCTGGGCTTGACCATTGTTCACTGTGGCTTATAAAAGTGGAAGCCCCTTCCACACAGCTGGCGGCTTCTTTCTGTGCTCCCCGTCACCTGCTCCATGGCACACCTGGGGGGCTTATTTTTCTATTACACTGGAGTTACAGCATATGTGTACGCTTGAAACAAATACACAAACATGGGTCTGGAGTATGGGGGTGACTTCACCTGGAAATAAGCAGGTGCCACAAGAAGCAGGTCTGTCCCATTTTTGGTCTCATGTTCTATGTGCCTAACATGCAGAGTTACATATCTGTTTCTAGCTGCCAACGTCATCTGCTCATCAACCAAAGATGGTCAACTTGACAAGGACGAAGGAAAAGGTGGAAGTGTTGAACTTACTGAGAATTAGTAGACAAATATGCTTTCATGGCCAACTTTCAATGCAAGAGACTAAATATCAAAAATGTCCTAAATATAAGGAAGTGGCCAACACCCACTTCCATATCAATGTTGATGACGAAGTCATGGCAACTTTAAAACACAACTGCAGTGTCCAGTGAGCTTTGAGCTGAACCCACTTTCCAAAGTAGTAATACTTCAGGTACCCTCACTCCAGCTATAGTTAATATGATGTGACTAACTTTACCTGTTACAGTAGCTAAACTTCTGCCGTTTCCCCAACCAGAATCGCACACAGCAAGAATATAGCCCATTATAGTCACACAGTGCTGCTTCATAAGCAGCATCAATTATTGCTCACCAGAAGAGCAATCAAAGTTTCATAAACTACAGAGAGGTTTGTTTCATGGCACTTAAGCTGCTCATTTTGTTAGATAAAAAAATGAGAGGTGAACAATGGCTTTACATGTTAAAAATAGATCATCTGTTTTATTTCTAGTTGCATAAAAACAGTGAAAATACAAGCCAGTTGTAGATCTTGCTGGTAAGCTGACATAATGATCCTTTAATTTCCTCACCCTCTCGGTTCTGCTGTTCTGTTCTGACCACTGGCCATGGGAGAGGAGTGGAGTCAGGGCTTAGAAGAGACTCTATGGCTATTTGATGTGATAATTAGTTATATTGCTTGCCCTTTCAGTCCACTCCCATCACTCCAAACAGAATCAAAGTTTAAAATTTAAGCCCTTAAATCTGTAGGAGTCAGTCAGGTTTTTGTTTTTTTGTTGTTTTTTTTTTGCATAGGCATTATGAGGGATCTGTTTGATATAGAAAGGGGTTAGAAGCCCGAAGCCAATGGTTTAAATAAAGACAGATGAGATGAAAATGCTGGTTTCCCAGGCCAGTGTGCCTCAATGGTGGAGCATCAACCCATGAACCAGAAGGTCACGGGTTTGATTCCCTGTCAGGACATACCTGGGTTGTGGGCTCAATCCCCGGTGGGGGGCGTGCAGAAGACAGCCAATCATGTTTCTCTCTCACTGATGTTTCTATCCTTTTCTCTAAAATCAATAAAAACATATTAAAAAGAAAAGAAAATGCTGGTCTGATCCACATGAAGAGTGACCTCGAACCAGTATCGGGCATCTCCATCCGCTTTGTGGATGTCCCAGAAAAACTGTTTCAACCTGAAACTGGTAAAACCTTTTGGCACTGAGCTAGATGCTTTGAAAGGAATACAACAAAATGATCCACTCTAGAGATCTTATAAATGGGGAATTCATCCCATAATGACATTTGTAAAACTGAAGTGATTGACATGGATTACTAGGGAACCGTCAACAGCCAGATCATAAAATCAGGACTGTCAGGTTATATAGTACCTTTAGTTTTCTGATTGTCCCAAGTGTAATGAAACGAACTGGGAGATGCGGGGCAAAAAGGGGAGCCAGAAAGAAACACAACTAACTCCCTTGACCAGGGCAGAACTAGTTAGACTGCGGTTCCCAGAGTGTGGAGCCAGAGCTCAGCGTGGACTGATGCCGAGTCCCACAGGCCGGCTCCTCCAGGGCAGGCAATGGAGACATTCCTTCCCTCGCCGCCTCCTGTATTTCACAGTTGTCTTCCCTGTCTAGCAAGTGCTACTACCCTTTTTAGAGCGAGATTCAAAATCTTTCTGTTACTGTACATAATTTTAACATAGTTGAAAAATAGAAGCAGCAACAGAATGTAAACACTGACAGTTCTGGAATGTTTGGAGTGTGAGATACAGGGTTAGGCCAGGACTGTCTCAGTTTTCCATATGTGCCATGTCCACATCCTCTGAGGACCTGGGCTGCAGGAGCCACAGGACGCCATTACCGCTGGACAGAGACAAATGACCCTGACCTACTCTCATGAAATTTGAGAAAAACAACCTGAGCTAGGCCCCGGCTTGTCTGGATTTGACGGGATTTGGGGACTAAGGAAACACACCAGAAATACTTGTTTTCCTTTCCCCCAGACAAGTGTAATGAATGTAAAGGTGTTGATGCTAATTATTACATATTGTTAAGTCTTCAATTCTGCTTCATTAATGGCAGCACTGGCAGCTGTTCTGCAGAACACTGCATATTAAACCGCAGGCAGCCTGACCACAAATACAGGAGGAAAGGGAATTTTAAAATTAGCTTAATGAATCATTGCTCTTTAAGAATGTGAACAAAGATGGACCCCTAGGGCCATCTTTCAGAGGAACAGTTCTAAAGTAAGCTAGTAAGCTAACAGTTGACGATGACGACTCACTTGTGATGTTTTGCTGACATTTTAGATAATGCATATAAGCCCTATGGTGAGTAGTCCTAACAAAATTGATAAAGCAAGACAAATTACAATTACTTAAACACTCGAATTTTGCTGGCAAAAGTAAAACTTATCCATGAGAACATAGAAAGTAGCCCCTGCCCCCCAAAACAAACAAACCCCTACAACCCTAAAAGCAATCCAAATTGTGTAATTTAACAGAAAGGGGTCTCCAGGCCCATAGTTGAAGAGTTCATCAAGGGTTTGCAGGGGGAGGTTTAAAAAATCCCACTTTCCGAAAATACCTGACAAGCAAGGGCACGGAAACCAAGGTGATGCTGATTCTGACGGGTGCAAACAGCTTGTGGATGGCGTAGGCCACCACGAACGTGCTTGTGCCCGCGGCCATTTTTGACTGGACCAATGACTCCTTAAATCCGAGCTTAAGCAGGATGGCTGACATGTCCACACCACTGGAGGGCAAAGAGGCAAAAACAAAACGATTATTAGAGCAAGGGGTTACACTGAGACAACGATTTGGCTCTGAGATTTACATTATTTTAAAAAATGTGATGACAGTAGCTAGATGAATAAAAAGTCTTGGACAGAAAGTAATTATTCCCAAAACCCTCCCGTGACAGTAGAAAACAAACATTTGTTACATTTGTTACAGCAACCTCACCTTGAAACAACCATGTAAAACATGCCCAGGGAGACTAGTGAGATTCCAATGTGCACCGACACGCCGACGGCTCCGTATTCTTGGAACACCTTCTTCAGCTGCTGTGACTTGCTTTGCTTTTTCTCCTCTGTTTTGCTGAGGTCGCTGACTGTTGTGGTGGTTTTGCTGGGGTTCTGTGCACAAATCAGAGAAGGGGGAGCCTCCAGGTCAGGAGCAGGGATGTCGGGTGGTCACCAGCCTCCACATCACACAGTGCTCCACGGGTCCTTCCGCAGTGGGAGCCCAGCTACCCTCTGTCTTACCTGGGGAGCGGAGGCTAATTAATGCCCACTTAGCCACTAATTCAGTGAAAGGCTGGGAACTAGTAGGATGGGCAGAATGATGGCCCCAAAGATGTCCAAGTCCTAGTCCCCAGAAGCTGAGACTGTCACCTTACAAGAGGATCTTGCAGGTGTGATTAGGTTCAGGATTTAGATGGGCAGGTCAACCTGGACTCTCTGAGTGGGACCCATGTGATCTTAAGAGTCCCTGCGAGGGAGGCAGGAGGGCCAGAGGGCAGG